ACTTAATGCAAAAATAATAGCTTGTCTCCGGAAACCCTATGAACCTGGAGAGAGGATGAAAGGCACCCAAGCGTCAAGGACTCTCCTTCATAGGGTCGCTATGAGTTGCCTGCGACTCGATGGCACTTAGCAACAACAACAACAATGCAAAAATTCTCATGACATTAATGAATAATTTTTCTGAGAGTGCAAGCATTCCTTTGCCACATTTTTCTAAGTACAGTTATCAGTTTCATGTATTAATTGCTAAAAAAAAAAATAGAGATAAAAAATTTATCAAAAAGCTTCCACGTCCAGTCTGCAGACTTGGGACTGTCTAAAGATTTTTGGCCTGGTTGATCTTTGAGGACTGTCAAGAAACATTAAACTTTAATGTTTACAAAGTCTTAAAATAGATAAACAAGGAAAAGTCAAATTGCAGAATAGAGAGAACAAGTGCTGTTTAACATTTCAGATATTCCTACATTAAGGTTGGGTTTCTCCTAAATCCTAAGATTCTGAGGCTTTTGACAAAACATGTAGGCAACTAGGCAGGCGACAAAATTTTTCAAAAATTCAAATGTAATCTGAGCACATGAAAGATAAGATTTTAAAAATTAAGAATATATAAAGCTGTACAGTATGAATTTGCTATATAAAGCTGTACAGTATGAATTTGCTATTCCATTCTACTGAAGATGCAGATTCTTTGCACCTTCTTAGGCATTCTCATGATATCCCAGGATCTGCCAATTTTATGTTCCCTTTCTGTTTCCTTCACCTATAATCTCACATTTTTCTGCTCCTCTTTATACCTGAACATCTAGAAAATTTTAATTCTCTAGCCTCTGCATACTCACCCCTAACTTGTTCTTTTCCATCCTCAACCCATGCCACTGTATTTTATCTGTGTGTCTACATGGCATTACCAGTTTTTAAATTAGTAGTTTAATAGTGTAATGTGTACTTCTTTCCTCTGGGGTTTTGTTATGTTGTACATGAAGTCACTGTGCGTTGAAGTGGCTCATTGACACCTAACCCTATCACCAATCTCTATCCTCATCTATTAGTCCTCAACATTCTCTACAGCTTCCTCTCCTCCTTGTTAGAATTGTTAGCTAACCTCATTTTCCATTCTCCCTTTCATTTTAAAATTTCCTTTCTTTTACTTAAACCCTAAATCTTAGTATGGCCTATAAGACTCGTTATGATCTTACTCTTCTTCATTGTTATCTAATGCCCCTCTCCCATGTCCCAGTTGTCTTTGGTCACAGATGTTACTTTTTATTTCCTTCCACATTCCAGGTGTTTCCCTCACTTTGGTACCCTCCTACCTACTATTTTTTTCAGCTTAAAATGGTGTTGCCGTTAGGTGCTGTTGAGTCAGCCCTGACTCATGGCGACACCATCCACCACAGTATGAAATCCTGGCTAATACTACACTGTCCTCAAGGTTTGCATTGTAGTTATGACTACTGTTGTAGTCACCCTATCATTTTTTTTAATTTATTAGTTTTAATGAACTTTTACAGAGATTTTGGATTTCCATTCTATCTATCTTGTTTAATCTGTCTTCCTCTTTTACACTGACCCTCCATTATTCCAAGTATAAAGTCCTTCTTCAGGGATTGACCCCTCCTGATGACATGACCCAAGGTGTGTAAGACGCAGTATCACCATACTAATTTCCAAGGAGATTTTCTACTGCCCTTGTTCCAAGACAGATTTATTTGTTCTTTTGGCAGTTTATGGTATCTGTAATACTATTCACCAATACCATAGTTCAAAGTCATCAGTTGTTCTTGATCGTCCTTATTTCTTCTTGCTTGTCACATGTATATGGAGTTATGGCTTGGGTTAGACATACCTTAGTCTCCTTAAATTGACATTCTTGCTTTATAACCCTCTAAAGGGATTCTTTACAGCAGATTTGCCAGTGCAATGCATTTTTAATTTCTTGGCTATTGCTTCTATGGGTGTTGATATTAGATCCAAGTAAAATGATATCCTTGACAACTTCAATCTTTTCTCCATTTATCTTGATTCCAATTGTAAGAATTGTTGTGGGTTTTTTTTTATGTTGAGATGTAATGTATATTGAAGAATACATAATTTGATCTTCATCAGTAAGTTCATCAAGTTTCAACAAGCAAAATTGTGCCATCTGCATATTGTTATATGCTGATGAGTCTTCTTCCAGTCCTGTTACCACATTCTTTATACAGTACAGCCCTTAATTTATGTCATGAATGCATTCTTCCTTTATCCATAATGTCCCACTTTAAAATAACATTCCATAAGTCTCTTTTTAAAGTATATTCATATTCTGTTACAGCAGTTTATCTACGTTATTCTGTTACAACAGCTTATGTATGCTATCCTTGCTCTTTGAAGGCAAGTATGATGAGGCTTCGCCTCATGTACTTTGGGCATGTTGCTAAAAGAGGTTATTTCTTAAAGAGGGACATGTTGCTCAGAAAGGTGGAGGGTCAACAAAGGACAGGAAGAACAGTGACTGCCTCAGTGGGATCTAATGCGTCAGGAGGATGACATAGGACAGGACAGGGTAAGATCTGTGGTTCATAGGGTTGGTAACACCTAACAACAACACAAGCAATCTGTGTTTTCTAGAAATTCACCCATTTAAAATGTTTATTTTTGTGGTCCTCTGTCTCTTTTTCATTGAGGGCAGTGACTTAATCTTTGGGTTTGGATTTTGTAAGCATTTATACTTGACCCAGAGTAGAATCTGTTGTTTAAAATATCAAAGAATTGTCTCAAGATGTAGCTGTATGCTGCCACTAGAATAAGAAACCCATAAGAAAATTCAGAATCATTCACATGTAAAGAGGATAAAGTAATACAAATTCATGGAAGCAAAAAACAGCTTGATTTTATTTGTGTTACATTTAGGCATAAAATTACTTAAGAACATGGTCTTAGAGCAAGAGCACTTCTAAAAGAATTAGAGTTAAGTACGAAGAAAACCAATAGAAGAACCAAAAGAAAACAGCTTAGTGTTTTATTCTGTAAGTTATTTATATTCCAAATCATGTGATAGTGGACATATTTTGTTTTTTCAACTTCTATCTGCTAGATGAAATTACAAAGGAAAATAGAAACAGAAATAAAATTTTTAAACATCAGGATATTAGATTTCCAAGTGGGTATAGATGTTTGTGTAGAGTACCACAGCCATTTTAGAGAAGAAATTAGCTTTGCCCAGTAAAGGTTAGCATGAGGATATCCTACAAACCAGAAAGTCACTACTAACTGCTTGTACCTAGAGAGGAACCATTGGTTTGTATGCACAAGGAAACAAAGCCATTGACAGTAATATTTTTTGGGGGTGTTTTGTTTTTAAGTACAATTTTTAGATGATTTTTTTTAAACTTTGTAATTATTAATTTCAATGAAAATTTACAGAAACTTTGAATTGCCATTCATTCATTGTTACACTTTTCTTCCCTCCCAATCCTCCCCACCAGTACACTCCCCTCTTGGAAAAGTAAAAGAAACATTCTTTCTTTATTTTATAATCCCTCCCCCCAGGTCCACTCCACTATGCAGCCTTCACACTGGACTTCCATCATGACAAAAATACCTAATCACATATCTCCTTTAAACAGTTTTCTCCCTCATCTGTTTCAATGCTGTATACATTATTTAACCCATTTTTCTCAGTCTCCCCCCAACTCCAATGTTGGTCCTGTTTTACAACAGTGGCACCATGCAGTAATTTGTCCTTTTGTGACTGAGATACTTCACTCAGCATAATGTCCTCCAGAGTCACCCATTTTGAATAATATTGCATGAGTTCCTTGTTTTTTCAATGCAGCATAGTATTCCATTGTGTGAATATACCATAGCTTCTCTATCCATTCATTTGTTGATGGGCACTTAGGTTGTTTCCAACTCCTTGCTATTGTAAACAAAGCCGCGATAAACATGGGTGTGCATTTATCTGCTTGGATGTCAGTTATGGTCTCTTTGGGGTGTTTCCCAGTAGTGGAATTGCTGGGTCAAATGGTATCTCTATTTGCAACTTTTTGAGAAAGCACTATACCGCATTCCACAGTGGTTGCACCATTTTACACTCCCACCAACAATGAATAAGGGTTTCAGTTTCTCCACAACCTTGCCTGGCATTTGTTGCTTGCTGTTCTGTTAAATTTTGCTATTCTGACTGGGGTGAGATGATATCTCATAGTTTTGAGTACTATTGTGTTTAAGTGATGGAGAAAGTGGGAACATCATGCCTAGCCTCAACCAAAGAATAGATGGCTAATTGTGTTAGGTTCATATGATGGGATTCTGTACATAAGAACTGGAACTATGACTTTAAATGGATCTTAAGAAAAATATAACAAAAATTTTACAACTATCTATATCTATATAGATAGATATTTCTCATGATACTTTTTATTATAAAGTTTCAAACACTGCAAAAGACAATTTTAGGTTTTTCAGGGATGAGTCCATGTATATTCATAATGTAAAGAGATGCTCTACAATGTAATGATACCTTAGAGCTGTGGGGATGGAGGACGAGATAGTGAGAGAGGTCAAAAGATAGACAGTGGATACTTTGTAAAACAGATTTCTCTTGACCAGACTATTTCTGAATACTTTTTTGTGGATATTAAGGTGTAAGAAATGCAATATAGATAAAACATTTGTTACAAGGTTAATACATTTGGTTTATGGAAAAAAGCAAATTTATAAAAAGAAATGACACTGTTCCCAGTGTGATTAGATGGGCTGATTTAAGCGTAAAATTCACAGAAGGACTAAAGGGCTCAAAGTCAATTGTAGGCAAAATACCAGGAGACTTAATTGATATACTACCTGCTGAAATTATATATATAGATTGGCAATATTTTATGTGATACTCCTTTATATCTAATTAAGATAAAAGATGATGTGGAAATATTGAATAATGATTGCTTTATGGCTTTTAAATAATGCCCGTGTAAATAAGTAAACTGAGTAAATATAACATATTTCTAATTTATTTCTAGGAAAAAAAAGAAAGACAAGAAAAAATTGAACGAAGACAAAAGAAACATCACTCTTTTCTTGGAAATGAGACACTTCCTCCATGGAGCCCTGCAAATAGAACTATGTTTTAGTCATTCAGATTATTTTTTTAGTAATTATTTATCAAATTAAATTTTAGTCATAGATGTAAAAATATTTATTTTTAACAAGAGCAATCTATTTTAATTCACTGCCAGACACTTCTGACAATGAAAATGATATTTTAGAGTTTAATTCATAAAAGCACTTTTTTGAACTAGTAGATAAACAAACTGCCTCAAATGAAAATAATCAAATTACTCTTATAATGAAAACATAGAACTCTGTTATCTTATACTGATAATTCTTATGGTTAGATGATCCATGATCATTTTCATTGAGATCTGCATTTTAATTATGTTTAACTCTATGAGTAAAAAGGAAATCATCTTGATGTTATAATCATAGAAAGAACTAAATTTATAGATGATTGTGCATCTAGCTAGATTCAGATTTGAAAATGAGTAGTCACTGGATAATATGCATATATTACTACTTTTAAAACTCATCTTTAACTCAACACAGGTGCATTTGTACTGTGAAAGTTAGAATTATGGTCAGTTGAGGCCATGGTTCAGTAGAACTCTACTCATAGAGCCATTTAAGAATTTTTGGTTTACATTTTAAATGTGTAGTATATTTTACCTGAGCTGTGGTATAGTCTGTAGGTGGTTGCACTGCTAAGTCAAAGTCATTGCCTTTCAGAGGTTCAAATCCACCAGCAGTTTTGAGGGGAAAAGATGAGCAATCTCCTCTTGTAATATTTACAACCTTGGAAATCTGCTGGAGAGTCAGCTTTGAGTTGGTTCTCACTCAACAGTAATTAGCTTTATCAAAGCTCTGTTCTCGTGGTGTAGTCCATAAAGAGCTGTGCTGCTAGCCCAAAGGTGATACCTCTCTGATGGTTCAAATCCACCAGCAGCTCCTCAGGAACAGATGGGCAGTCTTGTTCCAATGCAATTTATAGCCTCTGAAAACCCAATGGAGGGTCATCTATGAGTCAGTTGTGACATCACGACACTGGGTTTTTGAGCAAGTACTTTATTAGGCTAAAGCAACAATTATAGGGTCTTTATAATGAAACTTCCTTTGAAATCTGTTTATATGTCACTATGATTATCCAGTGATCCAAGCGATATAAACTTCAATTTGTAATTTGTGTGAAATTTCACATGAATTCAATGTTGCTATTGGTATTCTTTTTCAGAGTAAAAGCCAGAAAAGTAATTAAGGAATTTATTATTATTATTTCAACTATTACAGAGTTTAATAACTTACATTTAGGTAGCAGCTGCATAGGAAGATAAATTTGCAGAAAATGTCCAGAGGACCTATGTTTATCTTCTCCATATCTGCATTTCCTGTATTAATTGGTGTCATTCTTTTTTCCCTTTTTCTCCATTGTATACTTTTTTATTGATATTTAATGAAAGGTTACAAAGAACTTTGATTTCCATTCATTCAGTGTTACACATTTTCTTCCCTCCCTTCCCCTCCCTCCAGCTCACTTTTCCCTTTGAAAAGAAAAAAAAAAGGTCTTTCGTTGCTATACAACCCTCCCTCCCCCTGAATCCATTTTAATATATAGCTCTTATTCTGGACTTTAGTGATGCAAATAATATCTAATCATGAATTATTTTTAAACAGTCTCCCCCTCATCTGTTTCTATGATTATTTATCCATTCTTTTCTTAGTTTCCTCCAAACCTGATGTCAGTCCTATTTTATAACAATGGCATTAGGCAGTATTTGTCCTGTTGTGGCTGAAATATCTCACTCAAACCTAATGTCCTCCAGGATCACCCATTTTGTATATTTCATGAGTTCCTTGTTTTCAAATGCTTCATAGTATTCCATTGTGTGAATATACCACAGCTTCTCTATCCATATGTTTGTTTCTGGGCATTTGGGTTGTTTCCAACTCTTTGCTATTGTGTATACATAAGTATACATATATATGCTTGGAAGGCAGTTCTGGTTTCTTTAGGGTTTAGTCCAAGTAGTGGAATTGCTGGGTCAAATGTTATTTATATTTGCAATTTTTTGAGAAAGTGTCATACTGCCTTCCATACTGGTTGCACCATTTTACACTTTCACCAGCAGTGAATAAGGATTCCATTTTCTCCATAACCTCACAAACATTTGTTGTTTGCTTCTCTGTTGAATTTTGCTATTACTGAGGTGACTGATATCTCATAGTTGTTTTGATTCGCATCTCTCTTAGAGCTAGGAACTTTTAACATTTCTTCATGTGTTTGTTCACCATCTGAATGTCTTCTTTGGTGAAGTGTCTGTTCATATCCGATGCCCATTTTGTAGTTGGATTATTTACCTTTATCTTATTGTAGTGCTCAAGTATTCTGTAAATTCTCGATATAAGTCCTTTATCAGACATGTCATTGTTGTTGTTGTTGTTATGTGCCGTCAAGTCGCTTGTGACTCATAGCGACCCTATATACAATAGACTTAAACCCTGCTCTATCCTGTGCCAATCGAACTGCCTCCGACACATTCATCCCAATTACCCCAGTCACTGAATAAATCCACCTCATAGAGGATCTTCCCCTCCTGAGCTGTCCCTCCACACTTCCAAGCATGATGTCCCTCTCCAAGGACCTGTCTCTCCTTACAACATGTCCAAAATATGTCAGACAAAGCCCCAAAATCCTTGCCTTGAAGAAGCAGCCCGGTTTAACCCTCTCAAGGAAGAATCTGTTTGTTTTCTTGGCAGTCCATGATACATTCAATACTCTTTTCCAGCACCACAGCTCAAAAGCATCTATTCTCCTTCTATCCTCCCTAGTCATTGTCCAATTCTCTGATGCATAACGAGTGATTGCAAAGACCATGGCCTGTGTCAGATGCAACTTAGTTTCCAGAGTGACACCATTGCTCTTCAGTACTTTGGAGAGGTCCCTAACATCAGACTTTCCCATCGCAATATGTCTTTTAATTTTCTGGCTGCTGGTGCCAAGCGTATTGACTGGAACCAATCCGACTAAAGTTGTTAACAATCTCAATCTCTTCATCATCCATCCTCATGCTGCCAATTGGTCCAGTGGTGAGAATCTTTGTCTTCTTGATATTGAGCCTCAATCCGTACTGAAGGCTGCAGTCCTTGACCCTCTGCAGCAAGCATTTCGTGTTCTCCTCAGTTTCAGCAAACAGGGTAGTGTCATCTGCAAAACGCAGATTGTTGATAGATCTTCCACCAATCCTAACGCCACACTTCTCCTCCTAGAGTCCAGCCTCCCGGATAATCTATTCTGCATACAGGTTGAAAAGATATGGAGATAGGACACATTCCTGGCACATATATGCCCTTCCCAATTTTGAACCATGCATTGTTCCCTTGCTCTGTTCTGACCACTGCCTCTTGGTCCAAGTATAGGTTTTGCATTAGCATGATAAGGTGTTCTGGAATTCCCATTCTTCTCAGAGTCAGCCACAGTTTGTTATGATCCACACAGTCAAACACCTTTGCATAATCAATGAAACACAGATAGACATTCTTCTGGTATTCTCTGCTTTCAGCTAAGATCCATCAGCCACAATATCCCTAATACCACAACCCCTTCTAAACCCAGTCTGGGCTTCTAGCAGTTCTTTGCTGATGTGCTGTTCCAGTCATTTATGGATAATTTTTAGTAAAAACTTGATTGTATGTGAAATTAATATTGTTCTATAGTTTCCACACTCTGTTGGGTCTCCCTTCTTTGGAATTGGAACAAATATAGATTTCTTCCAGTCAGTTGGCCAAGTGGTTGTTCTCCAGATTTCTTGGTACAACTTGATGAGCACATCCAGGGCAGCCTCTGTTAGCTGAAATATGTCAATTGGTATACCATCTATTCCTCGGGCCTTATTTTTGCTCTTTCTTCAATGCAGCTTGGACAACTTCTTTTATCAACATTGGCTCTTGCTCATATGTTATTTCATTAAATTCTGTGTCTGCCAATTCCTTTCAACATGGTGACTCAGTATATTCTTTCCATCTTCTTTTAATTCTTCCTGGATCATTTAATATTATGCCTAAAGCATCCTTGATTATAGCAACTTGAGGTTTGAGTTTGTTCTTCAGTTCCTTGCGCTTAAGAAATACTGAACGAATTTGGCCTTTTTGATTTTCTGAGTCCAGGTCCTTGCATATTTAGTTGTAATATTTTACTTTGTCATCCCATGCTGCCTTTTGGAATCTTCTATTCAGCTCTTTATTATCTTGAATTCTTCCTTGTGCTTTGGCTTCTCTGTCCTCCAGTGCAATATTCAGAGTTTCTTCTGACATCCATTTTGGACTTTTTTTTTTCCTCCTCTGTCTTTGTAATGACCGTTTGCACTCTTCCTACATAAGACCTTTGACATCCTCCCCCAACTCATTTGGTCTTCACTCATTAATGTTCAAGGCCTCAAACCTGTTCCCGAGATGGTTCTGAAATTCAGGTGGGATGAATTCAAAGTCATATTTTGGTTCTTGTGGATTTGGTTTAATTTTCCTCAGCTTCAACTTGAACTTGCATATGAGTAGTTGGTAGTCTATTCCACAATCAGCTCCTGGCCTAGTGTTCACAGCTGATATTGAGCTTCTCCAGCAGTTCTTTCTGCAGATATAATCAATCTGATTCCTATGCATACCATCAGGTGAAATCTATGTGTATAACCTGCGTTTATATTTCTTATAAAATGTATTTGCAATGACTAAGTCATTGGTCTTGCAAATTTCAATCATTTATCTCCAGCTTCATTTCTGTCACCAAGTTCATGTTTTCCAACTACTGATTCTTCTTCTCTGTTCCTAACTTTTGCATTCGAGTCACCTATTATTATCAATGCATCTTGATTGCATGTTCGATCTGTCTCCTACTGTAAACGTTGGTAGAAATCATCTATTTGTTCTTCTTTGGCTCTGGTTGTTGGTGCATATATCTGAATGATAGTGATATTCACTGGGCTTCCTTGAAAGCCTGTGGTTATTATCCTGTCACTCACAATATTGTACTTTAAGATGGATCTAGAAATTACTTTTTTAACAATGAAAGCAACCTAAATATTTTTTC